TTTGGAGGTATGTGTACCAGTGGTGGCTTCGATATCACCACCCCCAGGTACAAGACAGGCTTGACATCTTGAAGGAGCAGTGGGGCTGCACCTGAGAGAAAAAGCGCCTGCAAACGCACCCGCTGGGTATTATTTGGGTCCTTGGACCCTAAGGGATCTGTTGAGCATCAGCTGGGATTTCTACAGGGTGAAATCCTTTGCATGGGCCCAACTTCCCTCGTACTCATCTGGAAGAAATGGGCCAGGGCTCATCCGCGCTACTCTTTGTGCATTGTAGAGACACTGGCCCCTGCAACCGCCAAAGAAGTTCTTACAGCCAAGGCGCACGATGGAAAACATGGCCACAGCGCGTCACAACGTCGCAGCCAGACTCCATGCAAATGCTGCCTTTGCAGAACCGCTAAGGAATTCAACATGTGGCCAACAAGTGCAAGGCGTTGGCTAACCTCCTACGGCATTCTGTTGAACTTCAACGTTCACACTCAGGGAATTGTACAGTAGCGGATTCCGGGCCCTCACCCGGTGCTAGCAAATGATTATGTATCAGCTACTCAAGGGTACCAGCTGCTGGAGGCGACGTCAGAACAGCTACATGGATAGATTGCTCCATCAATTTGCAGTCCCTGCTGGTCGCGGGAAATGTCCAGGTAGCCCCAACCCTCAGTCAATGAATTTCCGCCAGCGAGCAGTCGTCTTCTTGAGCTTGCGCCAGGTTTCGCAGCAAGTTCTCCACCTCGCAGCCAGGGACTTGTGTTTTGAGCTCAAACGCTCCATGGTGCCTCTTGGCTTGCTGAGTGGGCAATACTCACGCTGCATGTCAAACTGTTTGGTAGAAGGATTCGGGTGAACCCAACCCCTACAGGTACGCAGGACAGTATAAACGTCATATTATATTCATAGGGTCCTTATTCGCGAGTTGGGGTAACCTAAATCCAGGTAACATTCATAGTGTACTGCTAGTCATGTTCAGACCTGAGCCCCTCAGCATGAAATCTTGTGCATCAAGGCTCGGATGCAGCTAGAATCCCCAACCCAAGGCCCGGCGACCTTGTCGGAGCTCTGTGGACCCCACGAAACAAAACATACCTGAACAAATAGAGCAATCTACACATGCTTCTTGGGAGGGCTATAGTCCCCCTTAAGTAGATAGAATATGGCTTTGGGTACATTATAATAAGATCCCCATATACCCCATATTCTATCTACTTAAGGGGGACCATATTATGTTGGTGGGGTGGTCTGTTGGATCTTCTTTGCATCTGGTACAGTATTCTTGCCTTGTCCTTGCCCAGGGCGGCGGTCGCCGCCTCCAAGACACGGGCCGCGTCTCCTGCGAACAACAGGGAGCTCTACAACCCAGTCCCATGTTTGTTCTGCATGGTTGAAGCAGGCGCACTTCACACGCTGAAATACAGAATAGGTGCTCATTATTGAGCAAATGCCTATTTACTTCTTGGCTAAGTTATGTGTGTTTGGCGTGCATATGCGTATGAAAACTACGTGAGTGGATATGCATGTATGAACCTATGTATTGGGACCAACTGCAGGAGGCGAGCTTCCAATGAGTATGTACAGGGTATATAGTTGCCATGGGGAATTATATAAGGGGTAGACAAGACTTGTGCAAGGTCCCTCCGGAAAGTTTTTTAGATATGCAACATGTACCACGTGAAGTTTTCTGTGCACATAAATGATCATAAATATGGCGATTGATGGCTTGGGCTTTAAGCCAGGGTTCGCCGGTGAGATCTTGGGGAAAGGAAAGCCTTGATTGATTCAGCTTTCCAGAAGCGCAAGGGGCCTGAAAACGTGGCAGGTTCTGGAGTTAGCTTAAGATCTGGTGGAACTGAGCCGGCATTCTTTATAGACGCTCTACAAGTTTCTTTGGCCTGAGCGAAGGTACGTGGACTTGGCAGGCTGGATTCGGGGTCAAAAATTGAAAGTGCTAAGGCTACAAAACACCATCTCATTCTGTGAAACACGCGGAAGCAGCACATGCGCAACATGAGCCATTAAAACATATGACGAGACATGAGAAGGCGCACACAATCTCGGACAAACAAAGACAGACAATATTTTCAGCTTGTGATAAGATGCTAGGCGGAAGACACACCAAGTTGGATAAACATCTTGTTCTTTCGACCTCTTAGACCCTGGATGCTCCAAGCCCTATACCCATAGACCCGCAGTCCCCACCCTAACGACCAGCATATCCTGCCTTTACCCTGTCGAAGCTCAGCCAGGAGGGTGCCCGGCAGCATAGAGCTCGCACAGCAAAGCCTTCATCTGATTCATCGTTACAGTCCCCCTTACGCAGTTTAGGGTCTAGGGTTTGGGAATCTTACTAGAGTTTTGGGCAATTTCATATCCTATGTACCTAAGGGGGAGGGGCATTATTTGAATGCGCTCAGGGATCTGAGCTGGACGCAGACTCGCATCTCATACTACTCTTACTCGTGCTATTCTCGTACTGTTATTCTCACTGTGACTCTGACGCTTCTTTTCTCTTTGATACGGCGTCTGTTTAGAGATTCCCGGACCTTTAAGCACGCGAACAGGACTTTTGCACTACCCAGGCCGCCCCAGCTTTTAAAGATCCGGAAGTTCCGGAAGACACAATCTAGCGTTTGAGTCGGCCAGCTTTCGGTGATTGACCCTACAGGCAGGCTACGGGATGCATCATGAGCAGACAGGAACTGGGCAGATTACGGGCGTATTCAAATGAGCTGTAGTCTAAACTCCTAGTATCCCCCTGAATAAGCCCTATAGTAGTCCCCTATATTATCCCCTACATAACCCCCCTTTGAGGAGGTTAGACTATAGCTCAAATGGCACTGGAGGGGGTTCAGGCTCAAACAACTTCAAAATGAGAGCTCAGGCATCTGTGCTATTCGAAAGTCTCACCTTTGATGTTTTCCTGTGCTTCTTAGCCGCCCTCTCACATGCTGCCCGGCAACCCGAAGCCTACGCAATCAATCCGAAACCTCTAAACTAACTCTATATATATATACATATTGCTTTTATGAGAATCGTTAATACTGTTACTAGTCTTATGGCTATTATCTGTAATAGTATGGTGCTATCAGTATTGGTGCTATTGTTACAAAATAGGCTGATGACACTGCGCTCATGCCTGGAATCCCGAACCAGAACCCCAAACAGACCCTATACCTATACCGCCGTCAACCAGGATGTTCACGGCAGATCTTTCAGCCTAACGTCCCGAAATATCATCAAACCCCTAAACCCTAAACCCTAAAGCCTAAAGCCTAAACCCTAATACCTCCCAATGTGTTTAACTCATCCCTAACTTCAGTGCAGACAGAGGAGCTGTCGTAGACGCACCAAGAGAGAAAGCACCTTGTCAAGCGACTCAGAGTTTGCCTATAATTCAGGGCTCAAAGCTCTAGAGTCTCCGAAAGAACATTGGAGTACAGAGGCAGATCCTCGTTTTGATGCATCTCAGGGTGGATTGAGAATCTAGGATCGGAACTTGATGGATAAGGGTGAGATGCAGGTGGGACTGGGCATGGTGGAGAGTCTCATGTGGAAACTTCTTGTTGCGGGACGTACATGCCCACTCCACTGAGCCAGCTTCTGACATGCCGCCTTTCCTTGCGCATGGACCGTATGAAGGGAGTGACAACAGTTTACGTAGTGTCATGGAGGCTTTTTGAACTGGGAGCCCTGGATTTGACATATCCCTGCAAAGGGAAGGGGCAAGCAAGCTACGGATCTGCAGACTGGGCCTTGTCCTGACCGAGCTGTAGTTCACAGGTAAGCTTCCCCCATACATCCAACATTGCACAAGAAAAGGAAAACCATTCGGCTCCTCTGCTACATTCCCCTGGAGATACACTGTTGACATACACCCTAAGAGTGTTGAAACATCATGTACCTCAGTTGCAGACGTGAAGTGCCTGCAGTGAGACTTATGCAGTCTGTTGAAGGACTGCGCCAAGCGCTGTCTCGCTCTGTGGCTGCTAGACTGCTACACCCTGCAACCTACATACCCAAAACTGAACTTGCCATATCACACCTGAAGAGACTAAGGACTTATTGTAGGCCCTAACTTCCAAGCCACAAAAAAAAAGCTTACTAACGCCACCTCAGCTGCACGGGTCCAAATTCTTCCCTTTTGAACCGCAACATACCTTTAGCCTCAGTACAGGGAACCCCCAATAAATTCAATAGGATCAACAATTCTTACTCATACAGTAGTTCCCATGTTCTTTTCCCTTCCCGAAACATCCGAAAATAATCATATAACGCATTTAAAGGACCATATATACATGGACATACACACACATACAGATATATACATATATATCCATTCTATCACGCCCTTTAGGGATAAAAAGCCAAAGGGAGACCAACACCTTCAAGTTGAAAGTTGCCTGCGAGAAGTTCTGGCCCAATTCGCTTCGCTCCTGGGAGCAAATGTTGGACTTGCGAAAGTTTAGGGTTAAAGGGTTTAGGGTTTTCAGTTTAGGTTTTAGTGTTGAGGGGGTTTAGGGGCTCAGTGTTGAAGATGTCTGCCTGGAACTCAATAAATAGTTCAAGCAATGGCTCAGCACCCAAAATAGAGGCCTAACGCGGCGTTTATTCCGCATACTTTCGTGGTTTAGGTAGTCAAGCTCATCCCCTAACCGTGAAGTTTTAAGTTTTAGGAGTTTAGGGTTTAGGGCTTGTATAGGGTTGGGGGTTTTAAGATTTAGGCTTTGGGGTGTCCAAAGCCATGGCCCAGGGAAGGTGTGAAACATGCGTTAAGTCTGAATCGTCCAAAATCGCTGTCCTACGTCTGTCTGAACCCCTTTGCATCCTCGACTCTACATGCAACCCCAAACCCTCAAACCTGAATCCCGAACCCCAAGCTCTAAACCCAATCCAACTAAACCCCCCAAATCCGAACGGCCTAACTCTCTCCCCCTAGACCTGTATCGTCTTTTGATGAGCCCTATAGGGCTATACTATACTAGATAGACAAATCCTAAGGACCAGGACCCTCTTTGTACCCTTAATTGGGGATATATGCTCCCTAATAGTGGGTACTTAGGCCCTGATAGAGGGTAGGAGGAGGGTCTAAGGAGACTACAGCTAGATCCCCCTTGCAAGGCATGTTGTTGAGGGCTCCTCTAGCTCCTTCACCCTTTCGGAGGCGCAGTTGAAGAGGCCTTCAGCTTGGGAGCTCTAGGGTTGAGAGTTGACTGTTCGAACTTTTAGGAGTGAAGCTTTTACCGATTTGTTGTTTTGGGGAGGAGGGTAGGGCGCAGAGTTTCAAGTTCAGGGCTGTTGTGGGTTTGGTGGATTTGGCGTTCGGGGCATTGAGATTTGAGGTCGCCGTGGCTTCGACAGCAAGTTGCCGTGGAGGACCCCTAAAAAGTACG